AGAAGGACCAGAACATAGAAAGAAGGTGCATGCATGGTGGGGACTGCTGAGACTAAGAGGAACACTTTTCAATATTATGGTACATTGCTCAAAAAAATAAATAAATGGGACAGTCCTATATCTCCCGATCTACTGGGCCGATTGACAAAATTCAAATTGCGTTCTTCATGTCTCGAAAGCATGACTTAGGATATATATTAGATTTATATATAACACTATTCTAACATAGGTATTTTGACACAAAATCGAACTTTTTCTGAAATAACATACCAATTTTTTTACATATTTCGATTCTACTACTGAAATTACGCCTAAATATGAAGTTTTGTAAAATTTGGAGTGAAATTTACGGAGAAAATCACAAATTTATGTTGGCACTTTTTTTTCAGTTTGTGCCAAGAATAGTTCACTTGGCGAACTTCTTAATATATGGCAACCTTGTTTCCTTTCCCGTGAGAGGAAAAAAAGTCACCATCGTTCCTTCACATTGCTCAGCGTTTGGCATACTTGAGAGGAATTTTCTCAGTTTTACAAAATATGTATATTGATACTTATAGGAACAATAGAAACAACGATTTAGAGGCCAGAAGGTTTGAAATTTTCTGAAAAGTTATTTTTTTTAATTAATGAAAAATTAATTTTCTGAAGTTATATTTTAGCATTTTAGTTTAAATATTCAAGATAATACCATTGTAAATATTAATACTTATTATCGGAAGATTAAAAGATTGAGTGGTATCAGGTGATTACTGGGGACTGAATTTTTAGTACTCAGAAAAGAATTTGAGTACTGAAAAGTAGACAAGGTTGTAGAGTTCTTCACTTTTTTTGTACTAAAATGAACATCGAGGAACCTAATGAACTGTTAAGAGACTTATCATTGAGTTCAAATAACAAAAGCCAAAGACTCAAGAAAGGTTAACTACCCTTCACTCAGATGAACAGTTGGCCCCTTTCTCGAACTTACCTCAAAGTCTCCACTTGGGCTTTAACTCAGAATAAGAAATTAGAATTAGTACTAACTAAGAGACATAGCAGAAGCTAACACGATTATCTTGCGTAGTTGGCCGTTAATTGAAACTAGCCGGCGTAATACAAAAGGCAATACAATACAAAAGACAATATACAAAAGGCAAAATACAATATCAAAAGGCACGTAATACACGGCCCAGAGTAACAGCTTCGAGACAGATTTAGCCCGAACGCAAACATGTGCTTCTTAGGATGCCTAACTCTCTTTCACGAAGTAAGCTGAACCTCCTTTACGCAATTCTAAAAGCTCATTCTAGTAGGAAGTTGTAAGTAGAAACAAGAATCGATAGGAAATCACACTGAAATTAAAATAATTGTTATAAAATTAAAATATATCTTACGAGGTTCTAGAAAAAGATTTATGTTCAATAGATTTTCTTCAAAACTCTTCCCGATGATGATGATGTCATCCAGGTATATCAGACAGGCTTCGTAGGAAAGACTTTTTAAAATAGTCTCCATGAGACGTTCGAATGTTGACGGCGCATTATATAGTCTAAACGGCATCACCTTGAACTGCTAAAGTCCCTGTCCGGTAGTAAATACCGTCTTTTTTCGGTCATTGTGATGGGTTTTCACCTGCAAATATCCACTATTTAAATCAAGTGTCGAAAACCATTTGCACCCAGAAACAGTGCCCAGAATGTTGTCAGTTTTAAGAAGAGAGTAGCAGTCCTTCTTCGTAACCTCGTTCAACGGGCGCTATTCAACGCAAAATCTAGTTGAAACATATTTCTTTCTGACCAGGACGATGGGTGATGCCCATGGTCTTGCTGAAGGCTCGATGACTTCGCTTTCTTGCATGCCCTTTAAAAATGTTAGTACCTCTTCCTGTTTAGCTATCGATGTTGCTTAATTGGTGGACAAACCCAGGTATCGATTCTCTGCTTCGAGACAGATTTAGCCCGAACGCAAACATGTGCTTCTTAGGATGCCTAACTCTCTTTCACGAAGTAAGCTGAACCTAAGCTAGCGTCCAGATAAGTTTGCTTTCCAGTTGTTGATCCAATTATTTTCTGATGATGGTAACGTTGGCTGCTGTATCGAACTTAACTGTCAAACTGGCTCGAACCACGTCAAAACGATGAGCGCGAGAAAACATCTTGAGGATCGTGAATAACACGTTCCTCAGCATCCTCTCTTCATCGTTTAAATGTGCATTCTACACAATACTTCGATATAATGCTCTCTACACGGGCACGGATTTTGGGATGTCACTATTTCGTTTAACGCTGGTTACTGGAGAACACGCTGCAACCACTTCACCTTTCTTAATAACTCTGGCCTTGTCAGCTACATTGGGAACTCTCACCGGGATAACGGTCCTCGATAGGTCGGTGAGTCGTATGGCTACTGCTACTCCTTTCGGGCTGTTAAAATTTTTGGGATATTCCATGACGCCGTAGCGGAAATTTCTATTTTTCGGCTATGGATACAAGAAGTAAAATTACTGTTCTTGCTGGTATTGTGATATCGTCTTGAGCTATGATTTTGTGGACAGATTTAACTCCTTTGTCATTAGTTCCGAATAAGACTATGTCCTCAAAGGCAAAATGCAGCTCGTTATTTTTAAAATTGTATTTCCTTAGAAAGTCCAATCCGAAGTATACAAGGATTTGTGTAATCTCTGCCACGTGTGCCGTGTGAAGGCAGACGGCACTTCCAACGTGATGTTAACGTCTAACTTTTCCGTTGATGTCGAGCTTCTCGCCGGACACAGTCGGCAAGATAATGCACGGTGGCGTCCAGATAAGTTTGCTTTCCAGTTGTTGATCCAATTATTTTCTGATGATGGTAACGTTGGCTGCTGTATCGATGGTCATATTGCAGAGAACTCCATTGATATGTCCCATGATGAAGAATCCATTACTGCCGCTACTCGCTGCAGAAATCTTAAGTGCTTTAAAATGAAGCTTCTTAATATCTGGCAACCTCCGCCCCTCGAGGAGGAGAAGGCCCATAATTAGTCTTAACGGAGCGGTCTTAACTTGCATACCCTAGGAAGTTCTGCAGTTCCTTCGTATGTACCCTTCAGCACCATAGTTCCATCACATTATGGCCGCTTTCTTGTCACTTATGTTCCGTCTCAAGGCATTGATCTCTAAACGAGCTGTTATTTGATCCACGGGCTTTTGGACTTGAGCAGCTCTGATTGGGTGGCGGTCTCTACGAGTTGCTTGCCGGGATGCCTCGAATTTCATGGCGTACACTAGAGCGCATTTTGAGTCCTTGACAGTCGCAATTCGAAGAGCTATCCCGGATGCCGTCGATGAAGCACAGCAGGGACAGGCTTTCTCTTGTTTCTGTCGGGCATTCCAAAAAGTCGAGATGAGACAGACTTTCTACATCCATGGCAAATTTTTAGAGTATTTCCGTGGACTTCTTATGGCGGAATTTTAATTTAACCTTGCTGTAATCTTTTAAATACTTCTCGCCAAAGCGTAGCTCCAACGCGCCGGATAGAACTTCGAAGTCTAGTATCTGGTTTCTGGAAGAGTATGAAGAAAATCCGCAGCGTCTGCTCTCAGATAATCGGCAAGACGGCGGACCTTAGCCTAGGAATCCCATCCATTCGCATCCGCCGCTATAGAAAATTGTGTCTTATATGCTTGCCAGGAGGTCTTTCCATCATACGTGGGTAGCTTCAGAAAGGGACGAGCAAAGCATGGGTAAAACTTTAAAACCTCCAGTATTGCTCCCTGCCATTGCTACGAATTTCTTCAAGGAATCATGTCCTTTGGCAACCGCTGAGACCCTGACATCAATTTGTTGTTCGATTTGTTGGTGAACTGCAGAAACCTTTTCTTCAATTTCTTCAACTCCGTTTTCAACCGTGTCAATTCTGTCTTCCATAGCTTCAAATTTTTTTTCGATTATGCAGGTGATTTCTCTTTTCATTTCCTCTGCGCACTTTCATTTCTCCTTTAACAGCTTTCATGTCTTCTTAAAAATTTTCTTGACCCACTTCCATCTTTCTTTAACGGAATCTTGGCTCACATGCATTTCTTATTTAATAGCTTGCGTTTCATCTTTAACGGAATCTTTCATCTCTTCTTTAAATGCAGCAAAAGCTGCCACCAGCTGTCTTAACTGCTCCTCAATCACTCTTGTTAGTGGTATTCAGCCCCATTTCTGACACCAAAAAGTGTTGCGTTCCTATAGCTCTGTAATAGATTGAATGCACAAATCTGATAATAGGTTAATAAAATTTATTCTTACCAAAAGAAATAAATCAGAACGCTGGAATTTTCCTTAGAGATATTCGTACAGGTATTCACAATATCACGCAATATATTCAGTAGTTATACTTCAGTATACTAAAAGCGTTAAAATAGAACGCAATGCAAAGCGTATCTAAAGAGAAGGCCAACTCGGATTTCTGAACTCAAGCGGAAATAACAACTCGCAACAACAGTAACTAAGCAACTGCACTCAGATGCTCTTTCTCCGAAGTTTATAGCTTTCAACCGGTTGCGAGATATTTCTAGTAATTTCTGCTTCTCGAGATTTCTGGATAGTAGTAAGAGGCAGGAATTACGGTTACAGCTAACATAGTGGTCAATTACATTTATTCAATCTCAATACAAATTACCGAGATATCCATTTACTCAATGTTAAATGCAGGTGCCCCTGTATTTTCACTTTTCCGGCACAGCTTTCTCTTAAAATTTGTCTCGCGCTGCATAGCACGAGGAAATACAACAATTTTAATTATAATTCTACTAAAATTATATATCTAAATACAAAACTTGTAAGAATATTATTCATGTGAGAAATTTAGGATTTCCTGGGGAAAACCAATTAATAAAGGGTCAATAAAGCAGTCTGTCTTCAGGATGTTAGTAATAGCTTTATTACTGAAAATATTGAATTTTCATGAAAATACAGAATATACAGCCAACGTATATTTACCATATTTTCTAGAAAACTGTCATCCCACGTTTTTGTTTTTTGTTTGTTCTTTTTAGATGGTGGCCCGTCTGTTGCAATTCTGCTTGAATATGATGCCTTGCCGGAGATAGGCCACGCTTGCGGCCATAACCTCATTGCGGAAGCAGGGCTGGCTGCCAGCATAGCGATAAAGGCAGTCATGGAAGCAGATCCTCAGTTAGTTGGAAAGGTAAGATTCTTCAAGAAGAAGGTATTAGACACTAATTTTAAGCCACTTATTTGAGTGCTCTTTTGATCACATGGCTGATCTGTAGACTGTTGGGCTCACCAGCGGCCGAGCGGTAAAGTCGCTGAACACTGGTAGTTCGGTCCGAGGTTCGAATGCCGCGAACGGGCTGGCTGCATGGGCGTTTTCGTGGTTTCCCCCATGAGTAATGTGTATATGAGCCAGTTTCCCTTAGAAAGTCCTCCACGAAGGCATCCCTCCTCTTAGGCAGATAGCCCTCGAGGCTTTGCCATACTCACACACACACACAATCTAGACTGTTGAAATTTTCAGTAATCAACAGAATCTTAAATTTCCATACGTCTAGAATAAATTAGATATGAAAATATCATGAGAAAATTAGAAATTATTTTTTCTCATTTATCAATTAGATTCCGATTTAACAAATCCGGATTTAAAAGTTTTCCTGTGAGGGAAAAAGCAAAACATCTTGGTTGAATAGCAATTTGTTACCTTTAAATAAACTGTAAACAATTTTTAAATTTTTTCATTTTTGAATTTTTAAGAAAATTGTCTGAAAGTGAACTGATTTAAGCACTATATTTTAAAACATATCTAAGACTTATTTGCATTTAAGCTAGAATGATACGCTGTTCAAGTACTGTTGGAGAAAAGGTGTTTTTTTCCTCATTAAACTGTGCAATCGAATTACAGATTAGGATTATCGGAAAAATTTGGTCTTTTAAAATGAAACACGGAAAACTCTTGATCACAGATTCACTTGAGCTAAAAAAAAAACCTTTTGCATACTCTTGTTCATCTCCCAACTAACGTGCATTGTTGTTCGTAGGACTGTAAATAAGTTACTGTACTCCTTCTGGAACTCATGTGTTTTTATAGGATTTTTTACCTGTGACATCTCCTCCCCCTTAACTTTCTGAACATTTTGATGCGCTATTTGAATACCTTCAATTTTATATGACCTTAATTATCTACTAAAATGTCACATAGTGTTTTCTCATCCTCGCACCTAAGTTTTGTACAGTTGTAGGGTTTATATTTATTTTAACTAACATTTATTTTAAGTTTAAACTATCTTTCCTGTCAAGCCTTACTTTCCCCCTGGAATTGCCAATGCCAGAGTATGTAAATTTTAGTAGAACGCGCAAAGTATTCAAAATAGTCAGTGGAAGTATTCTGAGTTAAATAGAAGGGAAACGAGTTCGAAAGTGTGCTTTCTTGCTTCACGAGCGTGGAGGTGGCTAGGTAGAAATTGAAGAACCACGCGTTTCGGCCTGTGTGCTTGCCTCGGCAGATAGTCGAATCTTTAAACTTAATATTCAGAAGTTTGCTGAAAATATCAGCGGTATCTTAGAACGCGGTTAGGTTAGCTACGTTTAGAGAGCCTCGTAGGTAGTCACTTGTTTTATTATTTTTAGTTTCTTATTTTTATTTACCGCCGGGTCGGCGTAGTTTGTGAGCGTCAAGAGCACGCATCTGTAATTTCTAAAGTTGAATAAAAAGGGATTTAAACCCTTCTCAAGACTTTGTGTACTTTACAGTTCATAGCAGTCACCATTTTTGTTGCGTGCAGGTTGGGGCCGCGCAACATTACACAGTGATCTGCTCGGCCAATTACACTACAGACACCGATTCCAGGACTGTGAATATATTTTTTGCACGATATTAGATTGTATGTGTTTTGTACATCCTCTCTGATGTACCACCTTTTTGCCCAAATTTTACAGGACATTTTGATATACACTTGCAATATATCATGCGCAGCCGTCGCATTAATTAAAATCGAACTTTTGTGCAATTAGAATCTGTGATTTTTTCTGAAAACTTGTTTTTATTTGTAAAAGTAACAGTAATAATAGTATTATAAAAATAATAATTAAAACATTTTTTTCAAAACTTTTGTTTATATTCTTAATCTAAATATATCTTTAAGTTATTTATGTTCAGTCATTAGTATTATGTTTATATTGTGTAATATACATCACAAAGAAACATGTAAGAGAGTAGATGAAGAAAATCACTTTTTTTAAGGGGTAAAAGAAAAAGTTTGGGAATCTATGCTGAAAAGTATTCCTTGTTTAATCTTCCCATGCTATGGACAACTTATCGTCTTTATACTTTAATGTGAAGTTTAAATCTAAGAACATAGACACGATGTAAAAGTAAATTAAATGCATATTGTTGCGTCCGTACGGGTTCGTAATAAATTGGATGCAAACGTCCGATGAAAAGTGAATATAATTTATTCTTATCACAACAAATAAAACAAAGTGCTTAAATTTCAACATATATGCATGCGTACAATATTGCAATATCCAACAATAGTTATCTTTTAAACTACTCAAGCGTTCAACAGAACTTAATTAAAAACATAGAAAGCTAATCTGGTTTCACCGTGAATTCGCTACAGTAAACAACAACAGTTTTCTAAACAAATTGAATTGAGAAGTTTTGATCCCGCCTTTATAAGATTTTTAAATGTGCACGAGGATATTGTGGTATTTTCTCGATTTTTCCCGAAAAGCAAAAGCGTACAACTACGAGATATCTATTTATTAACCCCCTGGGCAGCCAGGGTTTTCGCTAAGAAAGCACAAATTTCCCAAAACTACTATGAGAACAAATTATTTTTTTGATTTTAATGTAAAAACTGTACTGGTATTTCATACCTGCATTTGTTTTCTTTTGATATATTGCCTTGATTTCGTTGACATATTTTAATATGCACGTATATATACGTTCTTACAGGTATCACAATAAATATTATAGGCCATATATATACGGCCTTGCCGCTTTTAAATGCGCCTGCCCCTATATTTTTAATTTTCCAGCTTAGCTTTCTCTTAATATTCGTCACGTGCTGCACTGAACGGGAAATAAAACAATTTTATTTATAATTCTACTAACATTAGCTACTTATATACCAAATCCGTAACAATATTTATACTACAACTTCTAAGTACAAACTAAAATTTAATAAAATGCATTCGCTGCCGATTAAGCGATCTTAAAGGTGCAAATGCTTAAATGTGGGCAAGATAACAAATATATTTAATGTTTGTTCAATCCGGCTACAACCACTTTCGAGCCCTTAGCATAAACGCTAGCAAATGCTTGGAAACAAATACCAATTCACAGCAGAATTTGCTATTCCTGGTGAGTTGCCAAAACTTTTCCACTAAATTACACGTTCTCTTGCTATTTAAAATCATCCTAATTTGCATTCTGATAAGGCTGATGGAGGACATAAAAGTTACAGAAAAGAAATTAACAGAAAAATAATGAGATATCTGAAATAAACCTTACAACATGGGTTATTTGATTGCAGCTGATTGTTCTGGGTACTCCAGCCGAAGAAGGAGGTGGAGGAAAGATCCGTTTGATCGAACTGGGAGCCTTCGAAGGGATAGACATAGCTCTGATAGTCCATCCAACCAAAGTGGACGTAGCTGATCCTCCCACATTATGCATAGTCAGGGTGAGTAATATTTTTTTCAGTTTCTTTCAAATTTCATAATATATCATCTAATTTGGTATAAATTTCTTTGTAGAGGCATCTGTGATAGAAATGTTTACATAACAAGATTTATGTGCCCATAATCTATGCTCGACAGATTCAAAACTGATACTCCTGCAAGGAGAAGTACGCGAGTTATCAAAAATTCCATATAAATGTTTACAATAAGAATGTGTGACGTACAATCTGAATACGGCCTGTAGAGATTCGGGGCTCTAGCACTGAATTTCTCGGAAACAGTATAAGCTAGAGCAAAACTGTACAAACATTTCGGTTCGGTTCTTATGTAACAACAATATCCGTTATTTCTGTCTAATAAAAGCAAACATTTTCTCTTTAAATTAAATTAAAAACCGCACGAAACTTGATGTATTATTACTTCGCAGATTTATACACATACAAACATAACAGGTAGCCACAAATGCAAGATTAAATAAAATGCATGATAGATAAACATAAATATTTTTACATAAATTGCATTAATTAAACGCTTAAATCAATAAGGAAAATTGATGTTCTATGGTGCACGAATATATAAAAACCAAATCTCAAACAAATAAACATAAACTCAGTTTTGGCCATTAAAATTACTGCACGAGGAGCGAAACCAAATGGAAAAATCTTATTTATTACATGTACGGAATATTACAGGAGAAAGGCGTGATTAAATTTGCAGGAGGTTTGGGGAAGACAGAGTGCAGAATTCAGTATAAAGAGCTGCCAGCTAGGCAGCAACAAAGGCTGTAATCCGGCTGGGCATGGAGTCGAACTGAACTTGGATTACAGATATAGGTACTTCATTCCATGTGGCTTCATCTGTATGGCAGAGGTGATCAACCGTAGTGACTGGCGAGTGGTGGTATGTCAGTCTCTCGACAACTCAGAACCAGATGTCTTCAGTGGTGAGAGATCTGGAGTAACATGCCGTGCTGTCAGGGCAACAATCGAACGCCCTTTGTATCGAGGAAGGTCAGAACAGCACAAGCAACATACTGTCATGCTTTTATTTTGTTGAAAGATGGCTCCAAGTAGATCTTGAAGGAAGAGTACAGGCCTTAACCCATCAGAAATGCAACGGCGGCTGTCCACAGTATAGAATAGACATGAATACGAAAGAACCGGGATCAATGGTATGCAGAATCACACCAACTTCTAGCTTGTATTACGATGGCGAAAGCAGTGCTCATTCTGGCTGGCAACGATGACGAATGCAGCGTTCGTTCAAGCTGGCAACTTTCGTTTTCCTTGGAGTATCCACACATGAGTACTTCCGTCATTCTGTAGGCAGAACTCGGATTCGTGCAGCGTCCAGTATCGTCGTTCGTTGCTCCACTGTAGGCATGCCTATCTTTGCTACAGCGTCAAGGAAACCGCAAAAATAGTCGCCGTGCTGTTAGTCCGTAGGTCTTCATACGTCACCGCACTCTTCATGCGAAGTTTCTGACTCAGATTATGTGAAGGGGTTGTACTTCTCGTACTTCCGAAGAGAACAACATGCTTATTCTTTCGGCCGTTAGAGGCCCCGGGCCTCTGAGATCTTACTTGATGTTCAGTATGATTGCCTGTTGCACCTATCTATTCTTTATTCACTTGACAATCATGGAATCCCCACGAATACGAACAAAATGATAAACCTCAGTCTCAACAGACCACGATCCTATCGCTGTCAAATTCCGACTCCTGTAAGGAGTTTCTCCTTCTTATAAATGGCACAAACATCTCCTTCTTACAAGTGGCATAACACGATCTTACACAAATAGCAAACGTTCAAACGCAATTTCCAAATGAGAAACTCGCTTTGAAATCTTTCTGTTTGTATGTAAAGTAGATGTCGTTACTCATGCCGCATACTCTATTTTCTGCGGTTTGGTTTCATTAAATTATGACAAAGCTCTCGAGGGTTATCTGCCTAAGGGAAGGGATGCTTTATGGAGGACTTTCTAAAGAAAACTGGCTCATATACCCGTTACACCGGGAGGAAATGACTAAAACACCCATGCAGCCAGTCAGTTCGCCGGGATTCGAACCCAGGACCGGACTACAGCGCCTTTACCTCTCGGCTGGTACTGCCTTTATGGTGTAGCAGTTTTGATGGCCACCAGAGTATTTAAAAAAAAATTACATCGTCTAATTCGAATAAAAATCAACTGGACTTCAGTAGCAGTCTTCTCAAAAAGAGAAATATTGTCCACTTTAAATTTTTCAATATTCGGTAAAAATTCATTTATTTATTTATTAATGATGATACAAATTATTTGACTTACGTAAATTTTGTATTTTCTCCATAACTAGAGCTTAACCTAGTCCGTTTATTATAGTGATATGATTGTAAATGGTAATATGCAGTACTAGGTTTCATATATTTTATAGATATTCTTTCCATTCATAATATATTTACTTTGTTTATTAAAGTACTCCTTCCGTTTATTCCTTTATTATTAGTCCAAAGGAGCTTTGTCCCTGAAGGACTATTATTTTCGTTTTGCGATTTTGCGTTGGTTCACTATAAATGTCCGTTTCACTTTTCAAACTGTTGTTACTAAAGTTAGAGTCCGCATTAACTTGAAGAAATTAAATAATGAAAAACTGCATAAATGTATGTATATTTCTGCATTGTGATTAAAATAATGGACTAGAGCCATCGAATTTGGATGACGTAATCTACTGCGAATATGAGCATGTGGAAACAAATTTGAAATTGTTTTATGATGATTTCCTATTTTTAAAACTTGACGAATTTTTGATTAACAAACTCAAGGATTTCAAAGCGAGCAATGGCAACCGTTGTACTAAAAACATTTCTATCTCCAGCGCGGAGGACCGTGTATCGGAAAATTCTAAAGATATGTCAATTTAAACTTATTTTGATATTGCTCTTAACTGAATTTGGTTTAAAGTGCGAAGAATTTGATATTTAATAAATAAAGGTAACAGACAAAATGTTAAAAAAAAGTTCCTTTGGACGTAATTTAAAATCTGAAACCTTTCAGATTTTTTTCTATTTATTTTATATGTTTATTTAATTATACATTTATTTATTACTACAAACTCTAATGTTTCTAACAAATATTTCATTCATGACCGCTAGACGTCGCTAAACACTAGCAGTATGACCTGGATTTGATTCCAAGGAAGCAAACTGGTTGCATGATCACTTTTCCATTCCACATGTGTTACGATCCAGTTTTTCCTTCGAAACTTTCCCACGAAGGCATTCCTCCCCTCAGGCCAATTTCCCTCGTGTGCTTTGCCATAATCATATGAAACGAACAACCTAACGAATGTTTCTAAAAATTTGGCTGCTAATTTTTTGGAATTGCTGGGGATTTCAAAAAGCAGTTTTCTAGCATTTTTTTAAATAGTCATACAAGCAAATCTGGGCAACGTTATCCCATGAATTTTAAAGAAATCCTTAGCGTGTAGGACTTGATGCTAAAAATTCTTCGCGAAAAATTAATTTTCGCTTTCGTAAGAACTTGTGAAGATCGAATAGTAAGCTCAAATTTTGTTCTTTTGTGATTATCAAAGTTAGTCAAACAATGGAATATTTTTCAGGCAACGATTGACTACAAAGGGAAGGAAGCTCACGCTTCTTCTTATCCTTGGCTAGGAAGGAACGCTTTGGATGCCGCCGTCGCTTGTTACAATAATTTAGCTCTTCTCAGACAGCACATTAAACCGATGTGTAGGATTCACGGTAAGAATACACCATTTTGATTTTTCTTAAAGCTCTGTTAAACTTCCTGCATTGCATAGTATAAAAGTAACAAATGCCTTTTACAAAATTATTTATTGATCGGCAACTGGTAAATTTCCTCAAACTCTACTCTGAAAACTTTGATTTAGCTTTTGGAAATATCATATCATAAGATCACAAAATGTTGTCGAGATAACTATAGTATTAAAAAAAAATTTAAAAAGAAAAACTAAATGACAAATAAACTGTTAAATTAAAAAGAAAAAAACTAAAAAAATAGGAAGTTATAACATCTAAAAATCCCCAGTTTAATATGCATATTTATACCCATATATAAATAGTGTTACGAAATGTACAGGATCGGCGAGATAGCTTCCCCTCAAAGCAGTTTTAGGGTTGGCATAAAATGGCAAGGGAAGGCAGGGTTCCCACATTTGGAGATAAATCGCCCATTTGGCGACATTTAGCGACAAAATTGACGATATACCATGGACGGATGGAGAACCTTCTGGGAACGAATTCTTACCGGTTTAGCCCAGAATGTTCTCGAACACAAGCCGAAAGCTATATAAAACCTGTTGGTCCGCAGTCAGTGTGTGTGTGCGTGTGTGCCTCGCATAGAGTGCGAGAGAGTCAGTATCGAGAGTGAGTGCCTCGTCTAGAATGCGAGTTTCTCGTCTAGCGAGTCAATCCCTGCGGAGTCGATCGAGTTGACAGCTGGGCAGCGAGTGCTGTGTGGGTCGTCGAGTGCCACCGAAGGTGTCTCTTAGTGTATCGCGGTTAGTGCATCGTCGAGAGAGCGTGTTGAGCTCCGGGAACGACTGTTTTTTCCATATTTCAATTCTACGACTCCAATTATGCCTATTTATTAAATTTTGTAAAATTTGGTACGAAATTTACGAAGAAATTCAAAAATTTAACTTGGGGCATTTTTTCAGTTTGAGCCAAGAATAATTCATTTGGCGAACTTCTTAATTTATGGCAACCTATTTTCCTTTCCCTTCCATTGTGCACGTGCGGAAAAAAAATCCACTTCGTTCCTACCTTTTTACATTATTGGATGAGCGGAAACAAGTCCCATCGTTCCTACTTTCAAATAATTTTAACAAAGTGTGTTAAACCACATTTTCGCTATTATCGCTTTCAATAAATATGCCAAATTTCAAAACGCTCATATATATATATTCACGTATATCTTCGGAAATTTTGAATAAAAAGCTATGCTTAGAAATACATCTAATTTAAGATGCTCGTAAAAATTTTATACGTTATAATTCAAAATGTTTTTCGAAAAAGTTACCAAAATAAATATATTTGGAATGAACCTAAATTTCGAACTGTGTAGGAAGGAATCAAATAATTTTCGTAAAAAAAAAAAAAAAAAAAAAAAAAAAAACAATACTGATAAATACACACCAAATTGAATTAACGATGAGGAGCTAAAATTTTGAGAGCTAATTTTTTAAAAACTACTCGTGCAATTTTTACAAAACTTGGCAGTTTGATATAATTTAAGTCATAGAATTGAAATATGGAAAAAAATTGGCGTGTCATTTCAGAAATAAGTCCGATTTTTGAGTCAAAATACCTATATTTGAACAATCCTATATATAAGTCTAATACAGATCCTAAGTCGCGCTTTCAAGATATGAAAAACGCAATTTGAATTTCGTCAACCGGCCCAGTAGAACGGGAGATATGGAACTGTCCCTCCTCCCCCCCTTTTTTTGTCACCAGGACATTTAGTTACCGGGACATTATTGCATATTTTTGTCCAAAATGTCAGCTAAACGTGCTTCGGTTAAACTAGTTGTCCGTTAAATCCGTTAAATGCATTGTTGCTTAACTAACCTGGAGATTAAATGTCCTGTCGGCTAAGTAGTTGTTGCTTAAGAGCCCGCAACTCAATTTCTTAACTAGCATAATCACATTGCATTAATTAAAATTAAAGCGTCGTTGCCTGCCTGAGCGGTTAGTGGAAGTTACTAGTTTGCCACTGGCTACTACAAATATTCTTCAACAAAACTGAATATTTTTACATCATTTTCCTCTATACATAAATAGGATTCAACATAAATGCAATTAGTTACTTTATATTAATCTTTTAGTGCGTGCGTATGTGATGTTTTCCTTGAGAATAATATGCATATTTGTTTCATAGATTATGAAGTTCAATACACTTTTACTTAGTATGAAACCAAAATCATTTTTGAGATCGAAGAGCATATTTAATATCATGAAAGAAAAGCTAACAATATAATTCGTATATCAGTAAATAAAATTTAGCCAATTGTTTAATTTTGCGCGAAAAATTGCGTTGTATGTTTTGCTTTCAGTAATACAAGTACTTTTAATTGTATAAACATTATTGAAATAAAATACCATAATTGTAAAAAAAAATAAATTAACTGACTTGTATTAAATTTGTTTTTTTTTTTAATCGCAATAAAAAATGTCTAAAACAGTAAACCTTTTGAAGAATCTAGATGTCCCAATAAAACTGAGGGGGGGATGTAACTGAATTATCCAGATGAGTTGCAGTTACAGATAGTCAGAATATTCGGAGTTTTACTGTATTTATGGAATATTAAATTTTTATTTTTCTTCAATTTAGCTGTGATCACGAAAGGTGGTGTCATACCCAATGTCATTCCAGCAGATACAAGCTTAAGCCTCTTCGTCCGGGCCCCCACTATAGGAGAACTCAGAGAACTGCGAACCCGAGTCGAAACTTGTATAACGAGTGCTGCAACCGCAACTGGATGCGAAGTAATTTACAATTTCTCAGAGCAGGATGCTTATGAGAACTTAAAGACGAACAAAGTTCTGGGGGATTTATATCAGAAATTTGCAGAGCGCCTGGGTCAGTAACACTTCAACATATTTTTTCTGGTATTATAGCTTTAATGTGAGTAATATAATACTTTATTTTCAGCAGGTTTAAATTTAACAACTCATCATTAATAAAGAAATTTTTCTGTGACTTTTCCATCAATACTCTGTCCTATGACTGTGGTAGATGTGAGTTGGTGTTGTTGGTTTTCAACTTTATGTTCCATATGAAAAGCTTGATTTGGTTCATTTGATTATGGGAAATCACTCGAGGGCTATCTGCCTAAGGGAAACATGCCTTCGTGGAGGATTTTCTAAGGGAAACTGGCTCGTATACACGTTACACATGGGGAAAGCCACGAAAACGCAGGCAGCCCGTTCGTAGGATTTGAACTCCCAACGCGAAAAGCATTTTGAGGTAACTGACATCATCATTATCAATACGCCGAAAACATATATCTGTATTCTATTATTCAAGAAACATTTTTATTTAATTGAAAGAAATGTTTTGGGAAAAAATATGATTTAGAGGACTGTAATAAGATAGCTTGTGTTTGGAAATTTTCAGGCATTTAAAGAGATACGCAGATGCCTATTATTTTGTAATACTGATAAAATTTAGATATATGCTAGCCGCCCAATCGGTATATCGGCTAGTGATTCTGACTGCTGTACTAAAAGGCCCGTGTTCGAATCCCGGAGAAGTCATGGATGTTTGTATTGTGTCTCTGCGGAATGGGGGCACTCTAAATATGAGGAGAGCCGAAAGTCCTCTCGATAGGTTGATGATAGGGAAGGAGTGATGGGAGTCTTCCTCAAGTGGGTCACTCTATCAAAATTGGGGCGGAACTGAGATGTCAAGTCGTACTGTTAACTGTATTTTACTGAACCGTACCAGTCGCACTGAACTGAGCTGAGAAGCCGTACTGTCACCTGTACTGTGTTCAAAGCTGTTGCCAATGATAGAACAGTCTTGCACTCATTGCTACGATGAATTTCGTGGGCTTTTTCTGATGTTAAGTGATAAGTAAGTGAGATAAGTTACAACAAACAAGTGAGATAAGTTACAACAACAACCGCAGATATATGCTGTCTTATTTATCTATACATATATAATGGTAAATCGAACTTTGTTGACATCTGTAGACGAATTATGTTTTCTATTTTGCGTTCTAGATGTAAACGTTTCTTACTGTTAAATCCTTATGGTGTACATAGCTCTGCTTTATAAACTCAGCTTTTTTCATACGTCAGAAGATAAAGAAATACCACGTAGTTTGATTTGATTTAACGTCATGGCCCAGACACACCTAATTAAACCAATGTTTATCTATAGGGTCGCAAAGAGACTAGCTCGTGCATTGCGACCGTCCAAAAGTAAACAGAGAGAGAGATTTTTACTTTTGACTTACGTCATATTATCGGGTCCGGTATATTAGGTATTCCTTTCGGAAGAAATTAGAGGAAATCGAATGATAGGACATCCTTGACATCATAATGAAGGAACGTTACACGGAGCATTTCCTTGGCACAAAACTAGCATTTAAGCTTTATTTACATTTAGTATACAGCATTATAATAATTTATTCATGGATGCTGTCAAAACACAAACTACTCACCTTTTTAGTTATTGTCTTGTGGCGCTTGTTAATAAGTGTAGATCAAAAGACGTCACTTACTGGTACTTTTGATACTGCTGGTACCTACATGAAAAGCAGAAAGCAACGTTTTTATTTACAGTACTTTTATAGTTTTCCAGAAACCAGCGACAGCTGCTAACAGTAATACATATTACATAACATACATAATACATATTACATATACAGCCTCAAATATGTAACAGTAATACATACTTGAGGGCGCTGAAGCATAGAATGTCATAGATTTTTCAAAAGCTATTCTTATTTTACAAATCCTTAAAATAGAGAAAATGATCCTGTGTCGAACCGTTATTGGAATACACAAAAGTCTAAAATGTGATATTTCTCTACCATCAGAGAGAAGTATTGTGAAGTGGTAGGCTGTCACGATCATTTTGAGCAGGCGACAAGCCTACTCAGCGCCGTCTCGAAGAATAAAGCCTGAGCCAACACCTCCTAAGTAGTTACAGAAGTATAATTATCCAGGAGGTATTGGCCTACCTTGGTCTATTGCTTGCCCCCTCTTCGAAAAGACTGCGTGCTGGCCAGACGATATAATGGCTAGAGTCGCTGACTGCCGTGCCGAAAGCCCTGATTTCGGATCCCAGAGAAGACATGGATGTTTGTAAATGTATAGTGTCCGTGCGGCATAGAAAAGCTCTAAATATGTAGCCAACCGAAAGTCCTCTCGAGAGGTTAGTGGAAGAGGAAGAGGGGGTGGAAGACCCTCGCAACCGTATCTGGGAGCGGAACTGAGCTAAATCGCACTGTCACCTGTAAGTTGTTCAAGGGTGTTGTTCAGGGCTGACTACAGACAAGTGTATATTACCAGTAAAAACAATAACAAAAGACTACGTTTAGAAAGCCTTACACGTCAATGCTGAACCGTATTGGAATGACACGGGAATACAACATTCAGCAACTCTATGACAGAAATATGCGAAATGTCAACCACTTAAATCAAAAAACAATAAGGTTGAATAAAGGAATTGAAAATATCTGCTGAAACACTGACAGTATACCATTGTACATCATCATGTAGACATTTTGAATTAGCAAAAATGGAGTATTCGATGTATTAAAAGTTTCGTCATATGTAAGCAAAGCTTCGTTTGTGAAGATCATTTGGATCTGGTTCATTAGATTTTGCTTTAGGTGTCCATGAATTCCAAGCACCATTTTAATCCCAGAGTACAGTGACAGGGCGTTTTGAAGATAAAAATGGTGTAGATAGGATTTGTGCAACATTTTCAGCACAGCATCATACGTTGAGCCATATTCATGGTGGATCAAGTTTGTGCAAAATTTTTCAAATCGTCTTGTAAATCATATATTTATTATAGCAAACTAAAATATTATTATTATTATTTAATTGTATTTATTTTATTTTATTTTATTTTATTTTATTTTTTTTTTTGCATTCAAAGTGATAAGCTTTTCTTTTTACGATGCTATTTCTAAATGTTATATGAAATAAATTTACAAGGCTACGTTGTTACTGAAATACCATTTTTAAATATTAAGAGACAATCAAGAATTAACTGAAGAGTGAATTCTTTGAAATGCTTTAGGTATACGAATATCACTTGAATCACTAAATGAATTGTACGAAAATTTTAACCATCCTGTGCAAGGCAATTACAGTCGAATCCTGCTATAACGAACTTAAAGCCAATGAAATTTTGTTTCGCTGCATCCGATCTGACAAGAAAGTAATAGGGGGAATCATTTCTGAAGTGTTTAACGCCACAGAAATTTAATCGCTAGAGAAATCAAGGTAGCAACGTGGCCTTCAGGCAGGCAGAACACGCTCTGAATTCACCTTTCAAAACCTTTTCTTAAGTACAAAATTATTTTTACCTCATTGGAATCCGCGCGCGCTAGATCATTTGCATTCTGCCTAGAAAGCGTGAGTTGAAAGCAAGAGCTATAGGAAAGACTGCTTCAAAATAAAATAACTGTTAAGTAAATTAAATAAATTCCCACACACTGTTTTTCAGTTTATCGTGCGTTTATAATTTTACGCAAAAAATTACTTATCTTAAAAGCTAAGGTTTAGATCTATATCTGAAATTAAACATTTCCTTTTTAATTACGCATTCGCAAACATGAGTAAGCATCAGCATTGAACAAAGTGTTGTTGTCTGACAGTTCAATCAAAGGACCTCGAACAGAACCAAAAATCGATTCAAGCTCTTTGCTTTAGTGGATCAATGGTTCTTCAATTCATTGCGTAACATAGTAGGATATCTTAAGATGTGTTTATTATGCGTCCTGGTTTTCTAAGAGTTAAGTGCTGTATCTGTCTCATATAACCTTTTGCTTTGAACTCAGAGGAAGGTGAAGGGGAAGATTCAAAACAGTAACCTAAAAGTGTTCTCTGTTATTCTAAAATGCTAAAGGGTGAAATTAAAGATTAGTAATTTTTCATTTGAAAGTTCTGGGAAAAAGCTTGAAAAATTAGGAAACTTTTCAGTCAAGAGATCCAGAGTTCATAATATCTAGTTTTTGCACATTTGGAAGCTCCCTATAGTAGCATAAAATGACATTAAGTTTATAGGAAGCTGGAAGTTGAGTTCAGTTTTATTACTTCAAAATTTGCAATAGAATATATATATTTTAGTTCAAAGGGGCATTGTCCCTGAGAGACTATTGTTTCCGTTTTGCAATTTTGCGTCGAATTACTCTGAATGTCCGTTTCACTTTTCAAATTGTTGCCACCAAATATTATCGCCCTGTGTTATATTTGAAGAAATTAAATAATGAAGAATCTGCATAAATGTATGTATGTTTCTCGCATTCTGATAAAACAACGATACACAGAGCAATCAAATTTTGAATAACTGAATCCTTCTGCGAATATGGGCACCTGGAAGCCCAAATTTGAAATTTGGAATTTGTTTTATTATCGATTTCCTATTTTGTAAAACTTTAGCGAATTTTTGATTAACAAACTCAACGATTTCAAAGCGAGTTATGGCAACGTTGTACAGAAAAACATTTTTATCTCCAGCGCGTGACACTGTGTATTGGAAATTCTAAAGATATGCTCAATTTAAAATTATTTTGCGATATTGCTCTTGAATTGAATTTTATGGTTTAAGTACGAAGAACATGATATTTAATAAATAAAAGTAACAGACAAAATGTTAAAAATACATTTTGGATGTAATTTAAAATACACTTTGGATGCAATTTAAAATCTGAAACCTTTCAGATTTTCTTCTTCTTCTTTTTTTTTTTTTTTTTTTTTTTTAAAAAAAAGGTATTTTGGATTTTTTACCATTTTTTTTTTTTTTGGTATCATTTTCTCTTGCTTCTCTAATCAATAATCTACCTCCTTTACTGGAAGTGCTGTTAAGTGTCTATCAAATGTGTATATTAGCTCTAATATATAGACCATTATTCATGTAATCGTAAATGATTGTTGTCTGCTTCCTTTTCGTATTCCTAGTATGTGTGTAAGTTCCTATGATTTATGTGAGAAAAGCAACTTTCACTTCAACTCTCATAAAATCAGACTGATTTTTTTTTTTTTTTTTTTTTTTCCAGGAGTCAATTTTATAAGAGATGCCTCGTTAATCCCCAGCACCGGCTCTACAGACATGGGAAATTTGTCTCATGTCATTCCTTCTATCCATCCCTTCTACAGCATTTGCACCGAAGCTACCAATCACACGAGAGAATTCACAGAGGCTTCCGGAGCTCCAGAAGCCCAAGAGCCTACTCTGAAGGCAGCAAAGGCAATGGCCATGACAGCTTTGGCAGTTCTACGATCGCAGGAAACTCTGGATGAAGTCAAACGACAATTCTTCGCCGATGTTCGGCATGATCTGCAATTCCAGTGACGAGAACATCCCTTTGATCTAATTGTACCGCATAAGGATACTACTCACATTCTATCGCTGTCGCTATCGTCATCGGTTTTCAAGAATAGCATTAAATTGGTTATTGGGAAGAAACTGCGTAGATTTATCGTAGATTACACTTTCTACCTTCCATGATAAAGTCTTGTCTTAATTTTTGTAGCAATATTACTTCAGAAGTCAAAAAAATGTTCATTATTATTTCATTGGTTTATATTCATTATAAATTTTATAGCATTATATTTTAAGAAAAAATTGCTTATATTCAACCGCAAAAAGGAAACAGCTTTTTTTTTTAGATTAAGTCTATTTAATTAGTAAAAAATCTGATGTGGACCTTGTACGCCCTGTTACATCATACGCATTTTCTGCTGCATTTCATTTAAATTTGTTTTCTCAAGTTTTATTAGAGATATATTTCTCATTCAATAAATTCAGTTTTCACTTCGCGGCAAGGCAAAAACACATAAAACTCAAAACATCTTCATTAATAATTGCAATGTACAGAAAAACATGAAACACCAAATACAGTTTAAACAGTTTAAAAAAACAATTTTTAAAATTAAAATTAGAGTTTCTACACAAGAGCAAGTAAATCGGCCAACGGACAAGAAGGCAGATTTTTCGGTGTATAGAAAATGATAGTTTACTGTTGGTCCCACTCGGCAAATAGGCACTGAAGATGCAGAAACTGACTTAATTCACTATTTTACTAAGAGTTTCAAATGTAAACAAACGGCGATTTCGTTAGGCTTAAACAACTTTCAAATTTAATTTAGAAGTCAAACAAGAAAAATCAGCGCTATATTTTCAAATTTTCACGCGACTAGTTTCGATGGTTTTACCGAACCATCATCCTCAGCTGCAAAAGCGCAAATGAGCGAGATAAGATATAATGATTAGATAAGATAAGATCAGTAATTCAAACCAAAATCGGACTTGCATAAGGATACGCCCACCTTTATGGAAATCACCGGATTGCCATATAAAGGTGCAGATGATCACTTTCAAGCGAGAAACTGATCTTCAATTTGTGTAAGCTTCGTTATGCCTCTGCACTGTTTTGAAGATTTCTGTCTCTTCCAACTGGTCGACTTGCTTAAAAGTGTGTTATGCTGGGCCATCGTTATGAAGGCATTCAGTTGCAATAGGTCTCAGCGTATACCATTTTCAAGAAAACTTTACTTAATTCCGCACGCTATTTATACACAAGTGAAGCTTTCTTCAGCAAATTCCTATCTTTTCTTACATGATATTTATATCACCTGCTCCACAATTATGGAACTTCTAAGATTCTCATGGTTTTGAATTTATCACCATATTATTATCTACATTCACTATTAAACATAGGCTTTTGACTTTATCATTAAATTTACATAATTCTTACTCATTCGTAAAAGGAAGAGAATGGTCTGCTTTTAAAATTTAATCCCGGATTTTTAAAATCGAATAAAAGTCTTGCACCTTTCATCGTAGTGTAATTGTTTGTTTCACCAAACTGACAAATAAATCAAATTGCCATTAGTCACCTCTTTTATCGCTCGACCACTAATGGGCATATTATGGCAGAAGAAATGACAGTATATGTGTGCTACGACTGTTAAATTTCGTTTTCTCTATCATTACACGAAATTAAAGAGTCTCTGACTAACAACTGGCGTAATTCTTAACCTTGAACATTATTATCCGTAAAGATGTTCTGATGGCAACCAGATATAAACGCAAGTAGTAACAAAATGTAGGCTATACATATGATGGAAGAAATATATAAAAACATGAAATTAAAAAAGAATTCCAAAATGATGAAAGAAATGTGTAACAACATTAAATTAAAAAAGAATTCCAAAATGATGAAAGAAATATGTAAAAACATGAAATTAAAAAAGAATTCCAAAATGATGAAAGAAATATGTAAAAACATGAAATTTAAATGAATTCCAAAATGATGAAAGAAATATGTAAAACCATGAAATTAAAAAAGAATTCCAAAATGATGAAAGAAGTATGTAAAAACATGAAATTAAAAAAAGAATTCCAAAATGATGAAAGAAATATGTAAAACCATGAAATTAAAAAAGAATTCCAAAATGATGAAAGAAATATGTAAAACCATGAAATTAAAAAAGAATTCCAAAATGATGAAAGAAATATGTAAAACCATGAAATTAAAAAAGAATTCCAAAATGATGAAAGAAATATGTAAAACCATGAAATTAAAAAAGAATTCCAAAATGATGAAAGAAATATGTAAAACCATGAAATTAAAAAAGAATTCCAAAATGATGAAAGAAATATGTAAAACCATGAAATTAAAAAAGAATTCCAAAATGATGAAAGAAATATGTAAAACCATGAAATTAAAAAAGAATTCCAAAAATTGTGGAAAGAAGAATGTGAAAACAGAAAATTTCGTCAATCATTCTGTGAATTATCAATGAAAGACGACTAATAAAAAGCATATTTAACCATTGAAAGGAAGTATTTCCTTTTAAATAATCTATACAGTATCATAAACATTAATAGTTAACATTTCGAGCACCTCTTTGCATTTAAAACACCGTACAATGCTCTCTGAATCAATGAAATTGAAAAGTTATCAGCTGTCAAAAACACACAGGTTTGCTAGTGACGCCAAATCATCGCTGAATCGCCTTCTCTGGCAGTGAATGCTTTATTCATCCGGTAATAAAACGGGAGCTGAATTGGGAAATCACGTGCAGCCAACTTTAGAGATAATCGAAGTTTGAACTATTGTTATCACGTTCCGAGGAGAAAAGTGGATGAAAATGAGTTAATCATTTCAAAAAACCTTTACCTTTAGCTGCTGATTTCTACACTTCTTTCTCTTTTCAATAAAATTCAAATGATACTTCACTATGCTTCAGATAAATGGCTAAAATTTTAACATTTGTCATACTTTTTAATTTTTAAAAAAAGTAAAACTGTTATTTTAATTTAGTCTACATATTTCATATTTAATTTTGATCTTTTAGTGGGTATTTTCATAGGTTTCGTTGGGAAGCTAAGCAATAAATCGAACAATTAAAGAATTTATTATTCTTGTTTGCATTAATAGCAACTTGATCAAAAAGTTTGAAGAATGTGTACCCAAAGAAGGACATTTTGCTTTATAATACAACGGAAGCAACTCATTTACTTTCCAAATACTTCTAAAATGTTGAGTATAGTATCATAAAATGTTGAGTATAGCATGTGGGCACCCTAAATATGCAGCGAGCCGAAAGTCCTCCTGAGAGGCTAGTGGTAAGTGGAGAAGGGAGGGAGACACTCTGACCTGTTTTCCCCGGGGTACTCTTCATGAAAACTGGGAACTTGGCTGTCATTATTTACTTTCAAGTTTTATCCCACCTAGAAAGTTTTTCTCAGAAATTTTAGAATATTTTCACAATTTGTTTATTTTTAATTTAAATTAATGTAAATTGCTTTGAGTTAATTAAATCTGTTAGAATTTTTGAATTAAATGATGAAAATCCTCTGTTAATATGAAAACATTGAAATCATTGAATTAAATGTCAATCTGAAATTTAATATTTGGCTGTCTGTATATTTAAATCACAAAGTGCTAGGAACAAAAATGTCTTTGAGGTACCAAACTTTAGATTTCAGACAAAAAATAATCATAAATTTGAATTATTTTTTCTCTGCTATATTATTTTCATCACTGTTTATGTATGTTTCGGTGAAAATTTAATAAGCGAAATTTAAAATTTATTTAAAATATTTTTCATTTAGTGGATAAAAAATTTTATACTGTTAAATATTTAGCCCGTCAACTGTTTTTAGATTGTGCACTCGTGCTTCATGCAATCTGAGTTTTAGGTCACTGATATAAACCACTGCTAAATTAATTTTTGATACGAATAACTGAGTAAGACTGAAAAAACTGACTTACAGAGTAAACGAGAAATTTTTGATTAAGTATTATTACTAATTTTGCACTTAGATAGGTAATTTTAATAGAACTATAAGTAAAACTGTTGTACTTCTTTTGTAACATGAAAAATCTAAAGAGAAGGTATGCCAAAAAGGTAAAAATACAGGGGCAAGTACATTTAAGCATTGAGTAAATGGATATCTCGGTAATTTGATATCGCCAAGCTGACAATGGTTTTGGCGACGATTTGGTGATATTTTGATTTGATCCCTGTATCACCGTAATATATATTGAAATTCAATAAATGTAATCATTGAATAAATGTAATTATGTTAGCTGTAACCGTAATTCCACCTTCGTATTGTTTCCCAGTAATTTCAGGAGGCAGAAAGTGCTAGAAATATCTCGGAGGCCGGTTGAAAACTATTTAAGGCCAAAGAGAGAGCATCTGCTCTCAGTTTCCCCCTTTCAAGTGAATGAGAATGGGAGGTATTTGAGAAAATCACTCCAACATGGGATACATCAAAAAACTTGCAAGAGCAGGCTAATACATGGCCTGTTGAAAACCAGAATTTCAAAGTTCCAATCAGCTCTCAACTTCTTAGTTATTGTTTGTTGCTAGTTGTTAGTTCCTCGTGAACTGAAGTACATCCGATTAGCTTTCCCTTTAGATGCGCATTGCATTACGTTGTGTTTAATATTGTTACTAGTTTGAAGGGTAGCTACTTATTGTACTGTGTGATGCTGTAAACACATGCACGAGTATTTCTGTGAAAATTCCATAACTTTGAAGTTGATAAAATAAATTTTATTAACCTGCCATCGGATCTGTGCGCATTCAATCTATTACGAACCCGTACACATGCAACAGTATTAAAAATTAAATTATTATTTAATGTAAACTGCTTAGAATGCTTCAGATCTGAAGCATTCTCTGAAGCATTCTAAGTGGTTTACATTCTGTTTTTAATTAGATGGTATAAAATTAATCCTTTAGCAAAAGCGAGGATCTCGAAGTTCATCAACTGTTGTCTTTCAAGGTTGGTTCTTCTATATCTGATCTTAATAAATTATTTCATGACTGCGATAAAACTGACTGAAGGGCTTAAAGCAAAACAAAACAAACAATAAAAAAATCATATTCTTATCATACGGATACGGGAGAAGTTTGTTGGTTGTCAAGATTATGCCCTATCAATAATTCTGTACCTTAAACTATTGCGAAAAAACATTCCAAATTTGTGACTTTGAAAGATAAGTTAACTGTGTCATAATCTGTTTTTGTATATCTTCTCCATTTTTGAAATAAAT